AAGTCTAGCTGGGAGATTCTTTTGGTTCCATTCAGAGTAAAGGCAACTCTTGCTGACTGGCAGCTTTGTATAGCTATTTGTGGAGCAATGGTAGAGGTATTCAAAGTTATCCCAAACTGGATAATTTGACTGTGAGACTGCCAGATCTGGAGGAGAAGAGAGAGAACCAGCGGGCCTTGGCTGAACTTTAAGTAAAAGGGGAGTATAATATATTGGAGTTACCCATTCTTTGCTCCTTTGGCGAGTGCTCATTTTGGTTCTCAGGCATAAAGCAGGTAGCAACCCTCTTGGAGCATGTTTTGTTTGCACTTGCTAGTTTTTTCAAGCTGAAGAAAAGAGCAGAGCCTCTAGCTGTTTCTCTAGGAAGGTCACGAGTGGTATGGCAAGACCTGCAAAGGAACCACTAGTTATTGGCAGTTCAGGAAGCAACTCAGAAGTATTTCACCTGCGTACTCTGTACGTTGTTTAACTTAAAGATTACCTGATGGTAAGGGTTTAAAAAAAAAAAAATTCAGAATCTAGTATTGCTCAAGTTAAAAGTAGTATATAAACTGGCTTAGGGCTTCTAATTTATCCTGAGAACGGTAGCTAAAGAAATAGAAAACCTAGATAGGTAAAAGCAGACTCAGGCTTTGGCTTGGCATAGCTGGAGCAAATGAATATAGGAGAGAGTAATAAGGTACGGGCAAGTAATATTCTCTGGATTTGTCAGATGCCACATCCATTTTGATTTTTGTACTGACCCTAGCATTACTGCTGCTTTTTTTTATCCCCAGCCTAGATTAAGATTTGTGCAGATGAGATCTGGGGTTAAATTGCAGAGTTTTGTTAAATGTTGACAATTGCCTATTTAAATTGAGGGGCTTTTGATAAAAACAGACTGTGGCTGGCCAGGCAGGACACACTGTTTTTCAAAACTGAATCTAAGAGTGAGAGACAGGGAAGTAAAGATGGTAACAAAGCAAGGAATCACCTGATGGTCACCTGAGAAGGTTGAGTGATCAGGGCATAAATTGCCAAAGAGGGCCAGTGGCTTACAAAAGAAAGGGCTGAGAGAATAACATGAATAATGGGTTGTGTGTTTATGTTTTTTCTCCAGTTAATTGACCATAGCAAAGGTCAAAAAAAAAAAAAAAAAGTTGATTTGAACAGCAGGTAATTTTGCTCAACTTGGAACGAAACATGTTTGTTTCTGTTTAACTTAAAAATCTAAATAAAAAGTTTGGATACATCTTTTTTCCTATTTTATTCCCACTAAAATAATTCAGTGCTAATTTATGCTGAATTTGAATAGTTTTTTTTTGGTCAAGCAGAATATGCATACAGTATTTTGGTAAGAAAAAACGCTTCACACAAGAAAAAAAAAAATGTACCTAGCTCTACAGAACATCTGTTTTTTAAGGAAACTAACTGGAGTGGAGCCCTGAAATAGAGAAGAATCATAGATGTCCAAGCAGAAAAGGAAACAGAGTTGCTTTGTAGGGCGCTATTTAGTTTAGATTTTTGCATTTCTTGCACTAAGTGAAAAGTAATCGTGCTTAGAAACATGCACAAAGCCTGTGCTGAAGAGTTTTGCTGAGTGGATGCTATATAGTTAGAGTTTGAGTTCTCGGAGGTAGCATGCTTAAGCCTCCGATGCGTTTCAGAAGTGCCAGTAGTTCCTGGAGCCAGTAGCTCATGAAGAGACAACAGGCAGAGAGCCTATGTCTTCTAGGAGATAGAGAGGCCAAGGAGAGAAACAATATAGCCTAAGGCAGCCCAGGTGTTGTGAAAAGTTATAATTTCTCGATGCCCAGTAACATAGGAGAGTGAGGATATTGTAGATCGGGATACAGTCCCTGAGTTATGAAGCGGTGAGTGCATGTAACAGCCTGCAGAGGCTGCCTACTACTACCAACCCACAATGAAAACTGTTGTTTAGTTCTTCTCATTCATGCCTGGCTGGTTTTTACTCAACTTGGTGATCACTAAACCAAGGGAGGATAGGGGCTGTCTATAAACTTACCAGGGGGGACCAGAGGGGAATGGGCGAGACCCTGTTCCCCTGAGCACCTCCTGAAGTAACGGCCACAAGTCGAATGAGAGTAGGTTCAGGCTAGACATCAGGAGGCACTACTTCACAGTCAGGGTGGCTAGGATCTGGAACCAGCTTTCAGGGGAAGTGGTGCACGCTTCTACCCTGGGCTGGGGGGCGGGGGGTCTTTAAAAGGAGGCTTGATAATTATCTAGCTGGGGTCATATGAGCTCAAACTTACCAGGGGTCGTATAAGCCCAGTATTCATTCCTGCCCAGGGCGGGGGGTTGGACTTGATGTTCTGCTCATGTCCCTTTCGACCCTACATTTATGAACCTATGAGTGCCGCTTTATGTGTGTTCCCGTGTTTAATCTGCACCTGCAGAAGCTATTCCCTTTTTTTCATTTCCACCCCCTCCCCTGCCTCCAAGTATTTTATCCTGTTCTTCTCTGCAACAATTTAAATCCACTGACTGATACTGGGGACAGATTTTTGCCCAATTGTTAATGAATAAAATTTAAAAAGTCTCTTCCTACAAGGAAGAAACCCCTCCATCTTTTTCTACCCTCCCCAACCAACAATGGCTGAAACAAGACTTATTTTTTTACTCCTGTGGCAGGGTGCTAGCTAAGAGGCTATGTGTTTGGTAGATTGGCACAAAACATAGCAGTCACTGAACATGTAGAAGACCTTCAAAACTGAATGATGAATGCATTACATTTGAAAGCTTGTCCAAGGTCTATCCCAACCATGCAGTTGGTACTGTAAAAGTTATCGCCCACAACAGTTCTTGCCTCTCACAAAGTTGTTTCATCAGGGCTGTGTGATAGGTTTGAGGCATTATGGAAAACACTATCTTACATTTTCAGGGAGATCAAAGATTGGGTGGGGGGGGGGGGGGGTTGTTGGTTTTTGTTTTTTTTTTTACCACATTCCCTCAGCTACCATCCTGTGCAGCACTTTGCAAATAGAGAGATCAGTTTCTGAAGAGAATGAAAAATATTCATAGTACCTAGACCATTTTTTGAGTATGAAAGAGTGGGAAGTTTGCCCACTACAGCCTTTGTATAGGCAACTATAAACAATATGGGGAGTGATGCCAGGAAGCTATTGGCAAGCAAGCCCAAAAGTCTAGAGAACTTAAGACAGAAGAAATCGCATCAAATTCTGAAGAAGGGTATTGAACGACACACACACAAAACACACAGTGATTAGGGACAAGAATAACAACAAAGACATGAAAACAAGACATTACTAGTTTATTCCATAACCCATGTAAAACTCTGTAAAAACTTTATGTATTAGCCAAAATATTAGAATACAGACTATTGTTTCTGTCCATTTTTAGAATTTAGCAAGGGGCCAAACAAGCCTCAAGTCATCCCAGGCAAAATCTGATGGAGGGAAGGGAGGGATTTCAATTTGCAGAACCTACATCGTGACTACCTTGTGGTGATTAACAATCTTTTTACGCACAAGAGGAAAAAGGGAAAAAAGAGGACGATTGGAAGGAAAATTAATTTCTCAGGAGATACTTCAGAGAGATGTTAGTACTTAAAGATCTACACAAGAAAATGGGGGGGGGGGAAATTCCTTCACTTGAGCATCAATTCCTGTAACAAGTAATTAAATCTTTTGGCTGTGTGCAAAATGTCTTTGTTAGTCAATGAGCATGCTCTGTGTCATTCAGCTCCATTACTAGTTCAGCACACTCAGCTCTTTACCTCTTGGAAGAGCTGTGCTTCAGCAGTGGCCAGAGCTTTTTTTGAAGTTATGTAGCTGCAATTAATATGCATACTCCAGCCTGCATTTTGGGTTGAACTGTTGACACTGATTCTACCACTTAGAATTTCCTTTTTGTATGATATTAGCTGATCTCCCACAGCCCAGGAAGAATTGTCATGCTCAATAGTTTAGGCCCTTCCTTCACAGCCAGTTTTATTCCTCCAAACAAAAGCCTTTCCCACCTCCATTCTCCATTGCCTAATCCAACAGCACACACATTTCCTATAGCTCCTCTTCATCTGAGCCCCCTTGCTGGGTTTTATGATACTTCCAACCATCAGATACCTCCTTGGGGTTGCACGGGTGCTAAGGTACATGGCTAACAGCCCAGAGGTTGCACGTTCAAGGCCATAGCAGAACTGCTCATGGGGTGGCCTGTCAGATTCCAATGAATCTGCAAATTCTGCTCGATACCTTGTCAAAGGGGCATGAAAAAGGAAGCTTCCTCCCAGGTGAACAAAAAAAAAAAAAAAAAAAAAAAAAAAAAAAAAAAAAAAAAGTGTCATAGGCTGGATTTATCCTCTCATCCAAATGCTCCCTTTAAAAGGACCTGCCACTCTGTGACAAATGACCGTTTGCATAGTACTTCTGAAGCAGTTTTCGGGGCTTCCTCACTGCTTCTGGTAGCCCTTGAAAGCTAAAAACCCAACCACCCACTAATAAAAAAGCCCTAACTAACCAAATCCCCTGTTCTTTTTAATCATGTGGTGTTGCAGTTCAAAACAAACTAGGGTTCTACCAAACCCAAATCTTCATGTGTTATGCCACCTCCAACTAGAAGATAGAGCTCAATTAATGCCTAACACAAGCTGCATTGTACTGTGCGCAATCAGAAATACATGGGGCTGCATTTTTGACATCTGTAAACTCTCAAAAATAATTCTGCTTATCAAAATAGTATTTCATCAATGAGGACTGCAGAGCATCAGTGGGGTTGAATAACTGGTCTTCCAAATGTTACATTTGTGTATATGAACAAGTTTGTTTTATAAATAAACTCACAAATATTTGAAACTAGGCAAGGCCATGTTTTCATCAGCAGATACCACATACTAAAACATCTACATTATACAAACAAAAGCTAGGGATACCAAATTAGTGAACACAAGTAGAAAAAAGGTTGGGATTATTATATTTTGTTTTTGGTTTGCATTTACGAATACATGAAGAGCCAGCTTTTCAGAAGAAAGGAGAACTTACCATTCTCAGGAGCTTCAGTTCAAGGTGTAGGTTCTTAGCAGCACCTCTGCCACCAGAGCTGTGGTGATTAAACAGTGCCAGATTAGTCATCTTGCAGACTGAGGGCCTATTTATCTTCAGCATAGTTAACAGCAGTGCAAGATTCCCTAAACTATCCTGCCACACTTGATTTGGGGGGGGAGGGGAAGGGGGCAGGGAAGGGGAATTGCATGTTGGAACTGGTTGTGCATATGTCTATGGGATAAAATGCAAAGATACTGGTACTTGAGCTAGCTCAGCTATTGGAGGCTGTACTAAGTCAGCCCTTTGCCCGGGCTAACATCCCCTGGTTTTCCAATTGGGTTAAATTAGCTGGGCAGAGCATGGAGCCAACATGGCTCTACTGTATCAGGACCTGAGCTAGCTGGGCTGTCTCTGCAAGGCACTGCATAAATATGAAAAACCTCATTCTCTTGGGTTCCTTGGTCAGTCTTCTGAGATTGCCAGCAAAGATACCAATTGATACCAGCTCTAGGGCTCAGAGATGCATACTGAACATTGGGGTGATATCAAGTAATTTGATTTCTTCATACCACCAAACCTCTGATTTGTGCTGATAGTAAGTAGTTTCACTAAAGCACCATGAGGCTCTGCCTGTGCTGCTGGATGTGACCCTTCTACTTTACTCTGATTTAGCTTTGTAAGGCTAGGGACAGACATTACACATAAACCTGTTTAAGTGATCAGAAACTGGTTTAAACCTGTAACAGAACAGACATTTAGTGCACATAAACCAGTTTCAAAATGGCCAAAGCCAGTTTGAGATAAGCCTGGTTGAATGTAGTATCAGACTTAACTGATTTGGCTTAAACCAGTTTATGCAATGTCCGTCCCAGACCCCTTGCTGGTTTAAGATAAACCAGATTCCCCCAACATCCTGGCATGCTCTCAGGGCTCTCTGCTCCAGTCTCAGGGCTGACCCCATCCCTCTACTCTGGAGCTAGAGCAAGGACCGGCCCTAGCAGAGACACTGGCTGGCTTGGCCCCACTAAAGCAAAGTGGGCAGGGAGGGGGTTAATTCTTCCCTCCTTCCCCACCGCAGCCATGGTCAGCTTGTCTGCCAGTCAGCAGAGGGGAGGAGGCTGCAGTGGTGG